ACTTTTGATTGAAGCTGTACAGGCGATTTCTGAGTGGGCTCAAGAAAGTTGCTTTATTGCTTACAGCCGTTTGTCAATGCGTTGTTTTCTGTGAGAAATATTCAATTGCATTTCAATTTATTAAGGAACTACTAGTTCAAGCATCTTGCAGATAGTATGCAGTATAAGCTGAGTGATAACATTCAATAGAGTTTCATGATCAATGGAAAGGCGTTCAAATATCTTGCTGTTGGATAGCATTGTAAAGTGGGTGAATTGACATCAAACTTGGGTTAAGATTAAGCGAGCATCCAGAACCTGGCCCACTCATCGGCAGCTTGTCAATGGCAGGTACATAGCCCTACTTGGTCCCAGCACCAATACCGTTTCCGGTTGGGTTAATGACTTTCCTGAGAAGTTTGATCCCTTATTGTAGGCTCAACAATTAGAGTCGATCTTGAGACTCATACCCTATTTCAACAATCGTTCCGTCTTTTTATACAGGTAAGGCTTCATTACGAATCTAGTGTTCCCAAATAGTAAATATTACTCTTGATTACTAAATAATGCTTCAACCATACAACGGATTCTTTCTCATTTAGGACCAAAGAACACAACTGGACTGAAGTGACGCATAATATTAGTAATGTTACCATGTTTTGTCTCAAAACGAGCACGGATGGAGGCAAATTTGTATTAGTGGAGGCGTTAGATTTGTTGAGCAATTCTCCACTTTGAAGACTCGAAATTGGCAGCTTTTGTCTGGACTCTATTGTCACCAATTGCAACATCAAGGGGAATCTGTAAACGAGGAACAGGAACAGGGGGCAATAGATCAAGATCTGAAAGGTGAAATCTATAGAGAGTTATAGCACAACAGTGAAAACACTGCTTGCAGGCGAGATAAAACAAACGTGGAATGGAATGAACCATTTCAGCTCACCATCATCCAGCCAACAATGAAACAAACAATAACTATTTATTTGTTTTGCACATACAATGCATAACAATAAACAACACCAGAAGTGCCTTACAAGATGGTCATGGACCAGCACATAGGGAAGTGCGCGCAGCATTAGGAAGCAACAAAGAAAAACAGAGAAAGTAAACTCAAACCTGTGGCTACCCGTCAGATACTGCTAAGGTGCCAAAAAACAGGTGAGTAATTAGAATGAAAAAAGCTGCACGCGCTTTAGAAAGTCGATGGGAAACAGTCAGTGAAACATCAAATCCAGTATCTCCAAAAAAGCAACCCAGATAACGAAATGAAGGCTTGACAGGCAGAGTTTGACCATGAAGAAGCAAAGGCAAATTAGCAGGAATAGGAATTCTTGTGAGAATCACAGACTTCAAAGGAGCAAAAGAAAAACCACGAGCTTGGGCAAACTGGTCACAAACAGAGAGAAGAACCTGCATAGCATCCAAAGTAAGTGCAAACAAGGCCAAATCATCTGCAAATAAAAAAGAATTATATCGTGGTTTGGCAGGATGAAAGAGTGTTATAGGTGGGGCAAATGGTCAGAGGAGCCCAGGTAGAGGATCAAGAAAAGTGATATAGAGAAGTGGACTGAGAACAGAACCTTGAAACAAACCTCTAAACAAATCAAAAGCATCTGAAAAACAATTTGCAACAACCACTCTGGAAGAACAAAAATCAAACAGAGACTTCAAAACAAAACAAATGGCAACGGTACTCCCCTAGAAAGAAGCTCAGCCCGCACGATTTGTGGTGTCATAAGCTGCTTGAATATCTAAAAAACCAGCAACCCAAGGAACCTTGGCATTAGACGCACGGGAGATACATGCCTGTAGACCAAAAACACATTCCATTCCTGAGTGGTGTGACTGAAATCCCGCTTGGGCAGCATCAAGTGGGTGTCGAGACGTGATAGCAGAATAAAGATGTGGCAACAAAGCTCGCTCGAAAATTTTTCGGGCAACACACGAAAGAGTAATGGGGCGATAATTAGTCACCAAGCGTACCACGTTGCTTCCAAACTGGGTGCAAAAGCCCAAGATTCCATGAAGTGGGTGTAAGACTACTGCGAAAAATGGACTGCGAAAGTTGCAAGAACAATGGAGCAAGAATAGCTGAAATTTGGCAATAAAGTTCTGCAGGCAGACGATCATGACCTGGGGCAGACTCCAAAGGGAAGTCCATAATAGCTAGGACAAAAGCTTCAACATCCAATGGCAGCTGAAAATCACACAGAACAATTGAAGGTGAAACCGGGTCAGCAGTCTGAGCATTGTAGACCCTAGCAAAATGATCAGCATATTTGGCTAAAGACTGAGAGAGGATCAAAATCTAAACCATTAGCTGAAGTATGAAAGTTAGCACAGCGCCGAGCATGAGACACATGTTTCAGAAGAGAAGGCACTGATGAAGAACTAGGGTCATCAAAAAAATTTCTTTTGTCTTACGCCTGGGTGATCTCAGAGCTGATTTGAATGCTTTGTGACTATCACGTTGGCAAGTTCTTAGAAAAGGAAGAAGTTGGTCAGAAGAATTGTGGTACAAGAGGGAATAATAGTCACTTAATGCTGAACGAGCCTTACTACGCAACAAAGCAATCTCAGGGGGCAGAGGAGTGGTCACTGGTGCTCTACGACGAGGTGTTGGGGGTCCCAATGTCAGAACTGCTGCTGCCTCAACAAAATCAACTATAATTTGAAATGCGGAATCAATTGCTCCCTGGGCCACTGCACGAGAAAGAGAAGTCCCCACAGGGACCTGAAGTGGTTCCAATGCTGCTGTAGCGCCTCTGATGTTGGGGGAAGCAGAATCTTAGCAGTTTCTCTGTGCGACTTACGAATAACTTCATCCTTTAACAATCGGAGATTCCAAGAAGGTAGAGGAGGAGGCACAGTGGCCTGAGGATCTGGGCCAGCTAAAGAAAATGAACAGGTCACTACAAAATGGTCTGAAGGATGGGGAGCCATAGACTGGGGTTGATCATGCACTAAATAAGAGGAAGCTGTCACATAAGTAGAAGCAAAAACAAATCAATAATTGAACTCCCTAAGTGGGAACGAAAAGTTGGGCGACGAGCTGAAGAAGAAGCTGGGACAACCAATGAAAGTGAGTTGGCTGTAAAAAAAGGAAGAAGTGCTCTGGCACGGGCATCAGTAATATTATCACCAGTGCTCTGAGTTCTAAAATTGAAGTCACCCATCAAAACTACTGGTGTATCCGAATTCGAAACAAATTGAGGAAAATCAGATAATGCACCCAAACAGTCTTCCGCAGTCCAACGTGGGGGAAAATAAAATCCACCAATCACGACCTGACAAAACCTAAACCACAAACCAAACCCAGAAGGAACTGATGCAATCAACCTAAATTGATAAGTACTGCAACAATGTGGGTTAATAAGAAGAGCAACACCAGATGCCAAAGGAGCGTCTGGTGGAGGACGAGAATCAAACAACAAATACTCAGAAGAAACACTGTCTAAAGTTAACGGATGAGTTTCTGTTAAAACTAAAAAATCAAGCTGATGAGTAACAAGCCAAGCAAGTAAATCTGAAAAATCCAGAGGCAAACCTCTACAGTTGAGGGTTCCAGAACGAAAAGTTCACATTAATTGCGAGATGTAGGTTCAGAACGCGAAGAACGGGCTAAAGAAACAGTAGCTTCAAAGTCTGCAGCAGGAAGATTAGAACGAAGATAATGAAAAACTGCAGGATCATGAGTAATTCGCAAGAGGTGAGCAAATCTTTTGTGAACAGCCTTTGCTACAGCAACTTGACTTTGCTCAAGTGATTGAACAGACCCACAACGAAGCTACCCAGGGTCAAAAAGATCAACAGGCACCTCATCGCCTGGAAAAATGTCCTTGCGGAGCTTGTCAGCACAGTCAGAAGTACAAATAAACTCAGCAGTGTTACACCCAATAAAACTAATATGGCGAATGTCACGCGAAAATTGAGGGTTTCCAGAAATTCGATTAATCAGAGTGCGGAGTTGATTAAGTGGCTGACGGCTAATTTCCTTAAACCTCACAGTAGCAAAACCAGCAGCACGATCACGAACAGGCTGAGGAGGATTGATCAAAATTGGTGACTCAGCCGGGTAATCAATCACCAATCTGGGTGGCAGTAGTGATCTGCGAGATAGGGGGTCCACTCCGGCAACCACTGAGCGATAAAGGGCGGGTTGAGCATCAGCTTCGGCAGCTTCAATACGAACAATAGCATTTGATGCACGAGAGGCAAATTTTGCAGTGCTCAAAGGTCCAGGATTGCGAGTAGCAGGGGCAGGTGGCAGTCGGCTAGCACTCGCAACTTGAGCATAGGAAGGCACGGCAGAGACAGCAGCAGGAGGGCAGCTGATAGTTTCAACCAACAGAACTACAGCAATAGTCAATGCAGCAAAGAAGGCAGCCTCAGTTTCTGGTTCCAATACTGGGAGAAATTGCATTGCACGAGTGAAAGCAGACATCACTAATGGATGAGATCCAGAAGTTTGAGCAGGGGCCAGCATATGCAGAGCATCCAAGAATCGGTCACGAGGAGTGGCCAAGGGAGAGGTAGCATGATCAGCTGCAGAGGCATTCTTCTCGGCCCTGGCACAAGAGGCAGGTCGGCGAGTCGGGGTGATTTTGAGGCTTGACGTTTCCATTTGGGATCAGCATCAGCAATGGAAAGTGACATTTCGACTGTATCATTCATGTGAACATCAACGACACTTGCGGGGGATCTTCCTCTAATTCAAGCCGGTTCTGCAGTGGATGATGCTTGGTCACGTGATTGGCGGTCACGTGATTTGCGAGGAGAGTTCACTTCATCTGCCCACAGAAAATTTTCTCCATCAAAGTTGCTGGGTTGAGAGTCAGGAATAATTTCCTGAGGGCGCGAGGGTGGGACACAGAGGGAGCACGGGAGCGAGCACGGCCAGAAGCGATGAAAATTTTGGAGGGGTGCAGCGGGCGGCGCGGCATGCGGCACGTCAGGCGGAGCGCTGGGAGGCGGCCTTGATTGAGAGAGAGAGAGAGAGAGAGAGAGAGAGAGATTGAATAGCTGCATTAGTTCAGTTGGCTATGGCGTAGCACTCTAAGTAAGATACTGCAGGTTCGAAGCCTGTATGGAGCATATAACTTTTCAAGGTCCATCACGTGACCACCAGAGTAGGATTGGGTACGCATCAGTGCCAGATCGCCAGACTTGGTATACCAATAGCAGTGTATGTCTTCTATTATTAGCCTTCTGTTAACAATGCGGCTATTTCCGCACTCTTAGGCATTTTTCTCAGGGGAAACGCACGATAGACCCCGTTTGATAAACGCGACGGATAATTTGCATGTAAATTCATGTTTCCTGCCGGTATGCGTGACCTGGCTGGAGTTTCCAGGGACTTTCCCTCAGACAACGTTGGTAGTAGTGCACTGAAACGCTTGTAAACCCTACGTTCTTGCCCAAACGCCTTGCGATAGCGACAGAAAACAGTACTATGTGTAATAAACTACAAAACGTTCTAGAAGGGATGGCCAGCTGGTCGCTCCTGCAAAAGTTTTTCTAGTAACTACGTGTTTTGCTAGCACTCACTGTTAACAGGACGTTTTGGTGCATTGGGGTCAGTGGGATATATCTCACAAGTCATGGCATACCAAAGAGATGTAGTAGACAGACAGTGTAGATAATCACCACTGTGTGAAAATGTCTTATGTAATCAAGTGTTGGCTGTACTCATTGGCCCACGTTTCACGGACATGTTTTCTAACATCGATGTGAAACCAATGTCCATCAGTAACATATCATTTAAGTTTTGGAGTTGGTAATTCTCACTTGTCTGCAGTTTACTGCTAGACAAAGTTGTGCCTGAATGATAATCTTTCAGTAAACACCATGATGATCTCTGTAAAACATCTGCGTACTTCTCCAATGCAACCTATGTACTACAGTTTGGGACCATTGAGACAGCCAAGATTTTTTTTGAAGCGTTGATTCATCTTACCATCAGTAACGCACACCAATATACTGCATATGCTGCCCAGTTGGTTTCAGCAATGCTTTCGCATAATCTTACCTACAATTGTAAGTGACTCCTGCCATGAAGACCCCTTCTTAGAATTAAAGTGACGTAACCTTCCTGCTTCATTCCTTGTCGTTGCATGCAGTTGCTCAAATTTTGATGTCTAGGGTTAACTGACACTGTCTGCTCGACTGCTCTATAAGGAATTTGGTATTGTGGACGAAAAAAAGCAGAACCCTTGGAAAAAATTGTTTTTTATGTACAAATGCGGAGATGATAATTCCTGCAACACAAAAAAACCGTGTTTGTAACATAGACTAACAAACAGAGGCAAAACACAAGAGGAGGCATGCGGACAGACCAACCCCTAGAGAAGACTGGATTGTGTGCCTTTGTTGTTTAAATTGTTGCATCCAATGACTGAGTGGACCTACGATCTGCTTGGCTGGTTCTTGCTTGACATCCCCACTATCACCCTGTCTGGCAGCCAGTTGGGACCCTTGCTAGACACCACCATTTGCGACAGGCCTAGCATCATAGGGACAAGAGCGAACCGCTAGCCTTGGTGAATGGTCGCATGTGCGTGCGTAGAATGGATATTCCATCGCAAAATTGGAGTACAGCCTGGTAAGTCCAGAAGGCGGCAGAAAACCGACTGGGTGTAGTGGATGCAGACTCTGAAGGAGAGGAGGATCGTTTGGATGATGTGATCTTATCAGGCTTTATCATCTCTGGGACGGCGGAACTATGTGGATTGAAGGGGAAGGATTTTGAAGCAGATCGTGAAGCAGCGATCACAAAAGGCACAGAGCTTACATGCCAAGCTGGGGTGATGCTGCCGCTTCCTCCTAGATTTGTGCCTACTAACAAGCTCCCGCTTCAGTTGGTTGTTGGGCGGAAGGTGGATGTGGAGGCAATTTTCTGCACTGCAGAGATACAGTTTGCTATAATTGAGGACGTAAATTGCTCGAGATGCACACTGTGGATACGAGTCCAACTCTGGTTGCAAATGGCATCCCACTTCGCACCACTGCATTGGACCTTGAGCAGCATCTGCTGGTGGGTTGAGGGCGGCCCACCGGGATAAGAAACAGCATGTTGTCAACAAACCAGAAGGGTCAGGAATGGAGATTGAGATAAAGGAGCGGGGAGATGGACGGCCTCAGCTCAGTGTGCACACCTTGTTGTTACGCGTTGTTGCGTATCGGAAACAAGGGCTGGGATTCACAGTGATTGAGTTTGAGAACTCGGCAACGCCTGCTAGTCGAAAGATCTCTTTCCTCCAGTTTTGAAGGGCGGGAGTCGTGATGCAAAAATACACCAAACACCCAATGTGTCAGGACTGGTCGACACCTAAAAGCCAAAATATATCAATAAAAGTGAAGAGCACGAATGACAGACTGCAAGAATGTAACATATATGGTATTAAGTCTCCATTGATGGTGTAGGGAAAGAGCGGAGATATATTGAAAAAGGAAAAGTCTCAGCAGGCTGACAAAGAACTTGTTCTCCACAACAGTAAAAGCCTGATTGTCTGCAGGAATCCAGTCCAAGATCAACCGCCACGCTACGTCTGGATTGAACACAAAGTCTTGCTCCTTCTCCAGCAAGCCAAAATTCAATGTCTGTTGTCCCTTGGAGGACGGTGTCCAACAGTCCAAGCGATCTGGCAATACTTCCATGGTGGTTTTTTCAGATGCCGGAGAAATTTTTTTGCTGATCCCATCTTGTCGACCTTCTGGCTCCACTTGCATTTCGCAACCAAACAGGTTCTCAGTCCATTATCAACCTTATATTAATCCTTCAATATGCCGCCTCAACCACTTCTATTGTCCGACACGCTATCAACATGTGCGTCTGATGAAGGCATTTATGGTTGAACTGATCTGATCCAGCTGCTGACTCCTGTTGTACTGCAGAGTCAGCAAAACTAATGTCAGCAAGAGGCTCTGTTGCACGCTGAGAAACCAGGCCAACGTGCTGGTGTCATTGGAAGAAGATGTGGAGCTGGGCTCTCGAGCACTGTTGTTGCAACTGCGCTCTGATATACATCTGTATTTGTCCTGCATGCCGTCTCCGTCGTTGGACACCGGGGCTGGCAGGCTTCCGGTGTATGACTGTCCACAAGTCTTTGGCTTGCTTTGGAGGCTGCCTTATGCTTTGGTTAAACAAAGGCGGCATCCTTTGTTGTTGCTGTGTGGCTGGAATGTTACGGACTTGAAGTGTCAAAGGTCCATACTCGTCAAACACATCAACGTCACTGTTGTGTGTACCAGAAGTGTCGCTCCGATCTTGTTCGGATTCTACATCCCTCCTTGCATCGAAAGACATGTGCCAGATGCACCCCACCAATGATGAATTGCTTGGATACGTTAGAAAGGCGAGAACCTTCTTCGGATAGTGAGACTTCACGAATCAGTGAGATTGTGAGTTCACTCAACAATTTGTTGATAGTACAAATCCCTGACTTGTCGGCCAATGACAACACATTTTAACTGGTTTAGTTGGTTTTAAAGGTAGATCAGACTGGTTTATTGAAAGAGGGATATGGGTTATTTGTACATTTCTGAAATAGCATCTCTGTTTTCGAGCATCACACCATCTCGATTGAAACTAACAATGTCTCTGCCGTCCCCAATGATGCTATAGACAGAATGAGAGTTTCGCTAAATCACGAAGATAGAGAGCATTTTTGAATGTGTCTGATTTTTCCATTTGGTAGATTAAGACTGACATCCCCAATACCTTTAACTAGTACAACAGTGCCGTTTGCCAATTCAACTTCTCCGGCTCCTGATTTTGTACTGTCTGCATTTGTTGATTTGGATCTGCCTTAGTGTTTTTCATAATTTTACTCATAGATGCTAACAAAGGTAAAGTCTCCTCATTCCTTCTTTTGTGGCTTACTGTCTTTCAACGCCTTCCTCTTAGCACTTTGCCATGATTTGTATGAAGCCCATGTCCATGCAATGTTAATCAAGCTGAGCCCCGTTACGTCCACCATCGTCATGATTGCAAACGAAAATGGTACAGTTGAATTCTTCCCGAACATAAACGAGAAGATCCCAGAGACTCCACCAGGTGTCAGGGTAGCAGTATAGTAGAAAACAAAGGGGCTGACCCAGAAACGAAAAACGATCATGCCCACAAACCGTGCCCAAAGAAGCCATAGATTTGGCGGGGGAAGTGCCAATCGCTTCTTCCTGGTAGACTTTGACTCGGCTTCCGACGGAGGTAGTTCGGTGGTTTGATCATCAATCGGGTCACTCGTTGGAGGAACAGCCTTCTCTTTCGATAAGTACTGGAAGTACCAAATGAGATTGTTCGGCAGCGCTGTGAGTTCGGTGTGAGAATACACAAGCGCGAAGATACAAAGCGTTCGGTAGTACATTAGCGCTGCAGAATGATAAAATCCCTTAAGGAAATTTTTCAATTGTCTATCACAGTTCCAATTAGTGCCCACTCACAATGATGTGGTGCGCCCAGAATGTCCAATGGTTCTTTCCTTGGACAATCATTGTCCCGAGATCGTAAATCATGTAACCCAAGAAAGCAGAGACGAAGAACTCCGTAAGCACAAGGTTTCGGGGGGCGGTATAGCCCAGAACTGTTTCTGGGGTTCCAAAATCCTGGGAAATGAAGGTGATATAGAATCCGCAAACAGCAGTGATCAGGGCGTTAACCGTGGAACAAATCCTGTAATCAATGCAGTGAGAGGGTACATTCTGCTCTTCACATATTAGCTCACTTTTCAGACAATGCCACCCGATTTGCACGGTCCATTCGTGCGTAGACCTCTTGTCGGTTTCGGAGGAATGCGAACCACACTGCCTCAGACAGAAAATGCAAAGTGGTGTAGGCGAATGTAAAGAGGGCTGTCCTGTATGCGAGATTGGCAATAGTTGGAGCACCACCTCCTGGCAGAATGTGGCTCCATGGGTATTCGAATTCCTCCGCACTTCCAGCAAGTTGGTGAGAGGACATTACCCCGACGCCAGTGGCGTTAGTAGCAAACGTTTCTTAGAAAGATGACTTGGTATTGCACGAGAAATGGCAGTATGCAAGGCTAATTGCTGTTTGTAAAAAGATTAAGTATGTCGTATTGAACATCGAGGGGACG